AATTAAGGATCTTGGCTGCAGATCTGGAGGCAACCCAATGCTGTTCAGCTCAACAGCAGAATCTTGAGATGAAAAAGTTCCAACAAATGGTACCAAAGAATCAAATTTAGACCTCTTGTCTGGCTCTTGTTTTGTGGATGATACCTGGTTGATTCCATATTTGAAATTCCATTTCCATACAGATTGGCGTTTGATGAAGTTTTAAATCAAAGCAGTCAGAGGAAATGCCAGTAACCACTGATGCAGTGTTTACACCCTTTTCCAGTGCCAGCAGCAGGTCACTGACGTATCATCGCCAGGCATATGCATACTGGAACCAGCCCTGGGTGGGCAGCTGGAATCTACCTTCAACTCTAGCATCCTTGATCTATTAGACTTTATGTAATCTAGTTAACATTTCCAGACTTCAGTCTGGTCCACAGATGACCAGTAGTGCTTGTTGGGTGTGGGTTGAATTAGATGGCTTCTAGGGATATTTTAGCTCTAGGGTTTTTATCTTATCTTGCCATTTAATACTACCATTATTTTTTTGATGGCTACAGAAACATTTTTCTCAGATTTCATGTGTAGTGGGTGGGTTTGCAGAGCTCCAGGAGTTATGAACAAAGAGAGTGCTCAAAGAAATACTTTTAGAATAATGACTCCTACCAAAAGTCCTATAGCTTAAAATATTTGTTCAACAAATATATCTTGAATGCCTCTGGTGTACTAGGCCCTAGGGGTATGGAATGAACAAACATTTATGCATGAAAAGTTATCACAAATTAATGATAAGCCCCTTATTGGGGGCCTATCTCAAGGAAGAACAGCAAGTATGAAATCTAGAACTGGAGAAAATGGAAGAAGCTGGTGTGACTGGAATTTGGAAAGTGAGTAGGAAGGTCACATAGACTGGGCTGAGAGACCAGATCCCAGTTGAAAGGACAAGTAATGGCAACCTGAACCTATCCTAGGGGTTTAGCAACATTGCTGAGCTTGAGTGAGAACCGTCTGGAGGGGTGGCGGGGTGGCAGCCACAGCAGAGCAGGTAGAGGATTGTCCAGGAGATGAGGCCACAGAAGTGGTGAGAATGAGCACCATTTTGGGAAATCTAGTTATGAAATGGAGGAAGGAGAGAGGGAAATAGGTGGGGGTGAGATGCGGTGGGGATTGGTGTATTTTCCTTTTTTATTTTTAATGAGAAAAGGCAAAATGGAGAGGAAGAGATAAAAGACATAGGAATGAGAAGGGGCAGGATTCTTGCTAGTTTGAGGTATTATAAGGTACAGGATATGCATACATAAAACTGGTCTTACATGAAGGCACACACTCTTCTATTGTAAACCATCAGATTATGGGAAAGAGATAGGTTTCTGAAGTTTTCCTAATGCACTGCTAAGTGCCTAACTGATGGACTGTAGGAGTAGTCTGCATGACTTACCACATCAACCAAGAGTTGTGAGGTTAACCAGAGATCCTCCGATGTATACTGCAAAGATTGTTGGGAAATATCCATGTGATACTCTGGGAAGTTGGAATCTTGGTCAACATAGTTTACCTTCTGCAGAGTATATATTTTTTTGTTAGCAGTCTCTCCTAATCTGGAGACTAATGCTTTGTGGGCAGAGAATTTCCAGTAGGTTCTGTAGTAACATGTAGCTATTGATTATCTAGTCTCAAGCCAATGGGACTATCAAAATGCAGGAAGCTTGTAACTGAGGCTACCAGCCCAAGGATTATAGGTCTGCATCCTGTGGTGAGTTGAAGAAGGTGTACTGGGTTCCAAAGACCATCCCTACAATTCCCCCACTTCTACTGGATTCTCCCTTTCTACCTAGCCCCCTTATTTTTCTTTTCCCGGAGATGCTCTTTTCTGCTACCTTTGGATAAAGGTCTCTGATAAGCCCTGCTTGTCCATTTCCTTGGGCTAATAAGTTTCATCTAAATTAATCTTGTTCTTAGATCTAGCCAAATATGTACTAAAGTATAAAAAAACCCATCAGTGAAGTGGGTAATCTTATTTGACAAAATATTCTTTGTCAACAGAAATCTTCCAAATGATACCACAAAGCTTTGGCAACATCTACATGCCTTATAGAATATATGTTTCCCATAATGTTTCTGTTACCAGGACTGAATTGACAGCAGAAGTCTCACAATGACTGGGTGATGGTGAAGATCTTCTCTAACCAGTCCTCAAAAGGCTTTAAAGAGTTAAATGTTTTAACTCTTTCCACTCACTCTTTAAGTCATGATTTGACAGATTTATGGATTCTATTATTAGACTGAGACTGGATATGAAATCCTGCACACAGTTAATATAATTTCTTTTACTCAGAATTCTACTTTCTGTCCAACTAGGTTATAAATTCTCTTTTTCAAGGTTTGGTATTAACAATGGAAAAAACAAGTTCAGATGTGTCTCTTATCTGAGTGATTCACACTGTGTTTACCAAAGAAAACAGTAAATTTTTAATTTCCTTTGACAACCTTCTGAATATTTTGCCAATAGGTTCCTCAATAAGATGCCAAAACTACTTGAATAAATGAACAGAATTCACAATCACTGAATTCTACCACGTACCATAGCCTTTAATATAATATACCTTAGCTCAGACTTAAAAAGATTAACACTAGGACTTGGCACCAAGTTCAGGATTTCTTCCATGCTACATTAATTAACAAATGGCCACCTGTATATCCAGGTCTCTATGCTGCTCTCATTATCATAGCACAAAACAGCATTGACTTTTAAAGCAAAACTTATTATAATGACTTTAAACAATAATCTTAATCTTCTCAGTTTTTTCTTCTTATAATCATAAAGAAAAATGAGATATCTGTAAGCACCATTAAACTACATTTAAATGTAAAGGCTTTAATTTTTTTTCAAGCATTAGAAAATCCACAGGAGTTCTGATTTTTCCTTCTATGTTCTACATTCCCTGATTCAGTTTTTAAATTGGAGTATAACTTATATACTATAAAATTCACCCATTTTAAAGGCATAGTTTAGGTCTTCATATGTTAACAAAAATGAAGATAAGAAAGTAAAGTCATTTGTTAAAACTTTAAAAAAATTTGCACAAAACATGAATATGGAATCAATTGAGAAAGCTATCCTTATTCCTCCAAAGCCTCTAAACTTGTATTGATTTGCTGGTGTATTTTTAAGGATCAGTTAATTCCCATGGTATAGAAATGAATTTGGAATAGAGGAAAAAGATTAAATATTGCTCACTTCATTTTATGAAATAAATACAACACCAACATCAAATAGATACAGCCAAGATGCCATTGACCAAGCTCACTAATTGGTATGTATGTGAAAAATCATAAACAAAAGATCAGCTAGAATTTAGTAGTGTTTATAATGATAACCCACCATATGCAATAGGGTCTCTTCTAGGAATACAATGGCAGTTAGATCTAATATTAGGAAACTTATTTGAAATAACACATTACTGAATAAATGAAGAATGGGCTATGTTCATTTTTAAGTAGGTCATTTAAATGTTTAAGACAATCCCCTCATTTTCTTATTTAGGTAAAATAAAACAGACCAGTTTGTAAAGTAAAAATGAAAATAACATTCCTTAATGTGACAAATTAAGCACATTAATTTGAAATCAACAACCGAGAGCTTATTTAACAGTGAAACTCAAAAACATTCCCTTTAAAATCAAAAGGGAATGTTTTATCAATATTAGGAAATCTTTTATCAATATTATTATTTAATGGCATTCTGGAATTTCTGGCCAGTGCTATAAGATATAAAACCAGCTTAATAGAAAGAGATATTAGAAAGGAAGTCTTAACATTATTATTTTGAATGACATTATCACATATGTAGACATTATCATACATAGACAACTCAACACTCAATAGAAAAATTTTATGAATTAATTTAAAAGATCAATTAAACAGAAGGATACATGGTAATTACACCAAAAACCAACCTTTAAACCAGCAATGAGTTTAAATATAATGAAAAAAGAAGTATCGCTCACAGTTACAACCAATATTTAAACCACTCACCAAAAACTTCAATGAAAAATGCCTAATTGCAGGATTCATAATATTCATAATATAATCCCAAAGAAGTAGTTTAGGAGAAGTGCAAATTGTCCCAGTAATGAGCCCTAGGAGGGGGTGGTTGTGATATGGAGTGGATAACTTCCTCAACATGAATTTATAAAAGGTACAAAAGCAATTTTTTTCTAGGGATCTCTCTGAGTATTCAGCAAGCCATTTTCCAAAATGATAATCATGCCTAAGGGTAATTTGGTGGAAGCAGTCCCAGGGCTAATGATATATCTCATATATGTGGTTCTGTAATGGGTTTAATGACAGACGAAGCTGGAAGCAGCACAGAACTGGCTTGGGATGGACAGCTTTTGGGCTTGGATGATGTGCACATGGAGATTCATTATACTCTTTTGTCTGTTCTTATCTACTCTTGTGTGTATTTGAAATTCTCCATAATAAAAGGTGACATAGACAAACAAGACTAAAACAGCAGTTCTTAGTAGGCTCTGATAACCATAAAGGGATTTCAGGGGCTCCATAACCCTCGCTGGAATTATATACAAAATGTTGTGCNAAATAACTTTCCTAACCCTTCTTAGGGGTTATTTCTTGCTGTAAGTGTTTATACTAGAAACTGGAAAACAGAGATGGTAAAGCTATGCTCTCTTTCATAGACCCTGAAGTACAAATCAGACTTGCCAAACTGTGAGGATTCTTGAAATCACTATGGTAGCATTCATGATAGAGAAGCCTAGACTTGATGGGAAAACAGTTGGGAGGGGGATTGAGGATAGAAGCAAAGCCATCAAAGTTGTTCTAATACACTGTAAAATTATTAAAACAACATAATTGGGGCAGCATGTTAAATAAAGCAAGAAGAAGTGACATTTCATCAATGCTGCAAGAGTAATTCCGGCCATTATAAAATTAATTTCCATTTACCAGTTCTAACTCCGGAGAAACTTATTCATCATCCCCCATTGAGCTGCTTTCAAATTCTTTTTGCTTTGCTGTTAACATGCATTCTAAAAAGCTTTCCTCCTCCCTGCCTCCCACTGCATAGTTTCATTCTTGGTCCAAATGTTCAAGACCTTTTAAATTTTGTCACTAGAAGTTGTTGATTCCCACTTCCCAAGCCCACAATGTTCTAGAGACAAACAGAATGAAATAGTACTTACTGAGAATGTTTCAATACCCTCTCTTAGAAAAGTCTTAGTCCTGTGATAATTGTTCTCTCAACTTCCCGTATGTCACATATAGTTTCATTAGAAAATGTCTACTCTGTCATCTACTTTGTCTCCTTTTCTTTTATAAGTAAATGAGTTTTAATTAATAAACAAAAGTCCAAAAGTGCAGCTGTGATGATGCTGGTGATGACGATAACTCATGGTTACTTTGGACCAGGCTTTTTCCTATGTACCTTGTGTGTATTAACACATGAAATGCTCAGATCAACCGTAGGAGGTAGTGTCAGAAAAGTTATCTGAAGCTTAGAAATAGGTAAAAGAGATAAGCAGGTGTGTTTTCAGGGAACTGCTGGGCTTGCCACTTTAATTTTCTATTGCCTGAACAGACTGTTTTACTTTGTAGAAGCAGAGGTTACCTTGTAGGTTTGTATTGAGATGCAAATGATTTCTGTGGGGTTGGTGGGCCAGCAGAGAGGGTTAACCATAATCTTGAATGCGGTTCATTACCTTTTTGGACGTTAACCAATTTTCTTTCTAACCCCCAAATTTTATCTGAATATTTGTTTATTAAATTGCCTATAAAAGCCTACCTTCTCAAAGGCTCTTTGGACCAATTACATCATCTTACTGTTCCTTCATTAACTGATGAGTTAAATAAAACCTTTGACAAAATCACTTTTTTAACCTTCTGAAAATCATGCCCTTAACACTAGGTGTCTTGCATTATAACTTCTTAGTGGTTGTGTATTAGTCTAATGTGTGGACTACAATCAGTTTGCTCAACTGATTCTCCCATTGTAGGATACTCAGGTTGCTTCCAATAATTTTTCTTTCAGGAAAAAAAAGCCATATTAAACATTTGTGGCTAAACATTTGCATTTGTTCAATTACAACAGCACAAACGAAGTTTCTGAGTCAAAACTACCCACACTTTAATGAATTTTGGTATACATTGTTCAGTTGCTATCCAGAAAGTTTGGACCAGCTTATATTTCAGCAGAGTATGAGCTTACTTTCACTTTTCAAGTCCCTTTTTTCCCCAGTGAGTCCCCATGGGAGTGACTCATACACATAATAGAAAAGGAGGAATTGATAAGAGTGAATAACTAAAATTTTGAGGAAAGAGAATTTAGAGTTGGGGATAATTTGCTGCATTATGTATTAACAGCAAATTCTGTGATGGGAATCAACTAATAGAGTTGACAATATTTAAGTTATTTCCTGACTAATCTAACCATTGTGCCTGGATGGCTGCCTAATTCTGTGTAAAGATAGGGCAATGGATTATTTGCAGACAGAACAAAATTCTTTTCTTCCTTCCCTCCCTTGTTCCTTCCTTCATTTCATCCTTTTTTCCAAAAAAACATATCTGAATGGTCTACTAAACATAAATGGGCAATACAAGCCACATTTTTTAAATGTCATAAAGTGTGACAATAGTAATTTCATCATGGAAAATATTCATAATATTTTTTATGAAGACCTAACTCTGGCCTTTCACAAATAACCCAGAGAACACCTAATTTTAAGCAATAATGTTTCCTTTGTATACCCATCATCTATTTTTATAGTGAAAGCTTATGTTAAAATGTATTTCCTAAAGTTAAATAAAAAAAGAAAAAAGAATTAAGTGGATTTAAAGAGATTTTAGTAAATACGTTTTGAGGTACATGGAATGGGGCAATTTCCTTTGTCTTTTCCATCTAGAACTTAATACCATTTTCAAGATATCAAAAATGTGCATTCTTTCAACTTGTGATTCTTAAAGTTAATTGTGAGAACAGGTCCCGTAACACTGATGTTACTACTACTAGTTTTGTAAATTTTCAGTGCCTTATGAATATTTGTTTTAGTATTTCATGAGAGATGTCATAAGTCCAAAGGCATAGAGGGTTACTCTTACTAAATAGGTTTATTTAGTACTCAGAGATCTAAGAGAAGCGGGAGAGACAGATGCAGCAAAGAGAATCCAGTGTTTCCAGAGACAAGTTAAACATGCTTTCTTCTTGCTACCTTCTTCTATTCCTAATAGAGTGGAAACAGTGTCAATTTGTCTTGAATGTTCACAGCTTCCCATTTAGAACCAGAGTCATTTTGAGTTGGGAGGGTACTATGTATATTAACTAGAGTAAACTCATTAATATGCTTATGCTTGAATAGGAACAAACCTGAATCTCATGGTAAATTAGGCAGCCTTTGCCCCAGTCTCTGAGATCCTGGGGGAAGTGAGGCTTGTGCAGAGAGAAGATAAGCAGGTGACTGCTGAAGAGTCAGAGGTTCCAGGGAGCCGTGTTCTCATCTCACCAAATTACCAAACTGCTATCAGACCTGTATTTGGAAAAAAACACCCTGTTACGCTATTCCAGAAACTGCATGTTATTCTTCTTTATGTGTTTACCAAATTTCCACTGAAAGCACTTACTGTGTCTTGTCTTTAAACACAGTCCAAGTTTTCATAACCATTACAGTGAACAATAATAAAAGGGTTACCAAAGTTGTTAACCTAGGTGCTCAAATCTCCAGATGTTGGGGGATGTTTACCAGCAAAGTTCCCTAATGAGCTGGACCACTTTGGTATAGGGTATGGGACTGTTAGAAAGGCTTTCTTGGAAATCAGTTCAAGGGTATCCTCTTTGTCAAAAAAGGTCTAAGATATTAAAGATTTATTTCTAATAATCCTGCCTTCTAAAGTATCCTGCCTTTTGAAAAGACAAATCCTGACAAATGTTGTCAGAAATTAAAATTGAGTGCAGAGCAAGGCAATTTGAGAGGCTAGCTTTCTGCCTACAAGACACACTTTAGGACATAGGAGTGTAGCTTTAATGCAACGGACACACTAGGTCAACAGGTGAACATGCTTTGAGCTTTAGAATTCACTCTTTCCCCAACATGCTAATTGCAAGTACTCTGCATACTTATATTCCCATTTAAACCGTTTGCACTGGAGAAAGGAGGCCACAGCATAATGACTTTCCCAAACTCCTCTGATTTCCTTGGGGAAATTTCTAACAAGTGCTGTTTAGCTTCCATTTTCACTCTTCCCACTTGCTTTCTCTATAACCCGAGACAGCAAAGCGTCAGGCAACTATTAAAATAAGTAATTGCCCAACAGTTCGGGGTACAGTTTAATCTCATCTAAAAGAAAACACACTCAGACACTTGTTTGCAGACAGGCCATCTCAACTTTTATCACTTCTCTCAGGTCCTGCTGTTACCTAATCCTGGGACAAATAACTATATTTCCAACACTCCAGGGTATAAACTCATTATATAAAATTCTGTTCAGAGAAAGATTCAGGAGTCTGGGCTGCCTGTGTCTCCTCTGAAGTATTTCTTCTATGACTACCCTAAGAAGACTGTAATATTGAAAAGGTCTGAGACCTATACTTTCCAAATCATGTTACTTCAGATCCTGCAACGTCATGGCTCTGAAATAATGAGGCTCAGGGTAGGAGTACCTTTCTGAATAGAAGTATCCTGCCTTTTGAAAAGCTCTTAACCAAACCTAATTTGATTTTTCTACATGTTCCCTGTGTTCCTTTCATTTCTCAGAAACCAATTTCAGAAGTAAACAGCTATCTGTCAGGTTCACTAGATTAAACCAGTAATATAATTGTATAATTCTTCACTATTTTCCAGTTGCTCTTACTCTGGGGCCTCGGATGGCTGAAGGAGCACATTTACTCATGACATTAACTTATTGATCTAAATCCCAGGCAATTAGTTTCCAAATAAATTGACATTTATGTTGTCTTAATGTGGTACTGCAAATGTAAGGTTAATATGTGTCATGGAAATAAGTATTTTAAGCAGAAGGGTTAATTTTCAATTACCTTTCTTCTTAGGCTGTTTTATTCTATCTCAGATTATTGCAGACTCTGTAGAAAACTCTTTTCAGGTTTAAATTAAATATTTTCTATTTCTATGATGATTTCGAATTCTGGTCAGAAATACCAAATGATAAAATGCATAGATTTTAGGGCTTCTTTGGCATCAGTGTGAATATGAAGACCAATAGATAGATATATCTTTCATACCAGTTCAAAACAACCACTAAGCTGTGAAATGTATACTATTAACTATAAACTAAGGTTTGAAAAAGCTATTAAAATTGTTAGGTGGATTGCACAGCTGAATACCTGCAGTAACGATAGTACTGTGTGCCAGGAATTGAGATAAACTGTATGCATTCTCCCATGTAATCTTCATAGAGCATGTGAGGTAGATGCTACAGATAAGGAAACTGAAGTTCAGAGGTTAAGGAATTTACCTAAATCACAACTAGGAAGGAGCAGATTTAAGGTTTGAACCCACGATTTTGGTCCCAGTGCCTTATATTCCCAGAATTTAATCTCCTTAGCCAGATTTAGAATAATAAATACATAACTGTAGTCATACCTTTCCTTAAGATACACCAGATCTCATTCTTTGGTTTACAAAATTTTCTGATATCCTAATATAAAATTTTTTATATATGAATGAACATGTATGGTGATTTTTAGCATCAAGGAAATGGTTTGATAGATGGTATGAGTACTCCACTTGATATCCATAACTTTTTTAAAGAAGTTCATATATTTGTCTTTGTAATATACCTAAATTCTAATTTGTGCTTGTAAAAACATGATTAGAAACTGAAACTGCCCTTGTGTCTACTGACCATCTAATTATTTTCTTATTCCTACGGTTTCCACCCAGATGGTGTAAATTTCTTTGTCTTATGCCTGCCTCCTTCCTGGGTAATTTCATGCAAAGGACGAGGAATTTTTCATGTGTCTTTGAAACAGAATCTAATTCAAGGTTCCTCTGACCTGGATGGTTTATTTAGTGCATGACACATCTAACTCCTTGAAGAAACATGCTCTCTGTGTAGCATGTCTCCTGAATTTGTCGTTGGCAGAAATTGGCAACGATCACATGAATTTCTTACTCCTTTTGTTTCTTCCCATTGCGCTATTCCATTCTGGGTAGGTATATATCCTCTTTGGGTTTTAAAGGTTGATGGCTCTGTTGTTTAGTTTGATTTATCAGCAGCCATTTGGAGTCTGAATGGTCTAATTTATGATGAATTGGGGCTCTAATTACTTAACAGGATGACACCAGATTCCAAATGTATGTGCTCTTATTCCAAATTCCGGTCCAGAAAGAGAATTTAATGTTCAGATGGATAAAATTTCCTCAGCCAATATTCAGTATATAACAGTATTCTTTAGCTGCCCTGAAGTTCTTTGGATTTGTACATACTTGATTTTGCTTTCAAGTTTCCCATCAAGACCTGTTCTCATGGTGCTGAATCAAGTAACCATTGAGGAAATTCAAAAGATAACCCTTTGACTTTTTATTTTACTTTATACTATTATCTTGCAATGAAGTATGTTTAAAAGAAAAGCTAATATAAAGAAGAAAACCCACAGGGCATATATCAGAATTGAATCTCATGTTCTGTGCTACTTCCCCAAGGCCAGTTTTCAACCTATACTATTTTCACAATAAAGCAGATTTTACATAACATCTGTCGCTATGGTCACAATAGGACAATGATAGCTGGAAAAGCTAATAATGTTTTTCCAACTTGCTTTCTGGAATGTGTAACAGATGTGGAGGCAGCAGTAAAGCTGTTACTGAAGGGAGAGGTCAGTGAGCCCATCCAGCATCACCTCCTCCAAACCAAGAAGGAGAAGGGCCTTTGCCAAGCACTCCTCTCAAGTTCCTACTTAAGCGTCCTGTTGTTCGCTGCCTGATTTCTTACTGAATTTTACTGCCTGAATTCCTTGAGAAAAAAAATGCAAAAATAACCATAAACATTGCTACAAAGAACCTGATGGAAGAAAAGAATGAGGGATGGAGAGATTAAAGCATAAGTAGCAACGTCATGGCATCAAATGATCTGAGTTGAAGTACACCCCCGGAGGAGAAAAAGGTGCTGGGAATTGTATCAAGGTGGAAAATGGGGGAAGAGGAGAAGGCACAGGAGAGTGCCTTGTTGTCAGCTGTGTGGCAGCAAACACAGCTGTGTGATTAACAAGTATAAAGGCATTAGCTTCCTGTATAGTAATGTACATATGCCTCTGGCTGTATAGCATTATTGAGCACAGATAAAAATATGGAAGAACACAGGGATATGTGTAAGTGGCCAATGTGGGTTACCTTGGAGATGGGGGTGTATGTGGGGGAAGGTGGAGAGGGAGGCAGGGGGCAGCCAAGAAAAAATAAGATGAAGCATGTGAGTGATCACAGTTTTAATTGTTTCTAAGATTATAAACAGATACATAAAGAAATTAGCTCTCCTTCAGGCTTTTGAGGGGCTACTTAGCACAGACAACTCCTTGGCACTTGCGGCATGGTTGATATGGACCAGCAGACAGCATGCAGGCTGTTCCATGCTTTCCCGTTCTCAGTTCAAGGGCCTTGCCCCACGGTTTTCTTGTTAGTTTGTTTGCTTTTTGCAGAGGAGAGGGGGCATGGTGGCAGGGTGGGGAATAATTTTCTGGAAAGATATCGTACCCAGCATTACACCTAAGGGCAAAACAAAATCACTAAGTGGTTTGAGAAACTTATAAAAACTCTCTGTTTAAAAATATCTTACTTATGGGTGCCTAAAATTTTACCTATTGTGAGGCAAGGAAAAATAGATTTCAACTCATAGACAACTCCATTCCATTGGTTGTCAGCTACCTAGTGTGCCATTCTAATTATTTTACTGTTGTCTATCAAACCATCTCAGAACTTAGTGGCTTAAAACAACAATAAGCATTTAATTATGACTCTTGGTTTCTATAGGTCAGGGATTCAAAAGGAGTTCAGCTGGGTGATTCTGGATGAATGTCTCCCAGTGGAAGAATCAGACAGTAATTGGGGCAGCAGAGTTCTGGAGCAGCTGAGAAGGAACAGGGGAACATCTCTCTCAATGTGCATAGTCTTTCTGCAAAGCTTCCTCAGAGCATAATGGCCTCAGGATAATTGAATGGCTGAAGACTTAAAGGACATGTACTCCACCTCCAAGAGTGAGTATTTCAGCTAGGAAGGCAGAAGCTGCATCATCTTTTATGATTTTATCTTGCAAATTCAGCAGAGTTGCCTCTGCTATATTCTATTGGCTACAAGTGAGCCACAAATCTGCTCAGACTGAAAAGCAGGGGAATTAGATTCCACTTCATGGGGGGTGGGGGTGGGGGGGCAACGTTCTAGAAAGCATGTGGGAGGGGAGATAGAGTTGTGGCCAGGAGGTGATGAGCAACGGGGTCCTATGTCATGGATTTGTCCTCCCTGCATGATGCATTTTCTTCTCTCCAGCCCTTTTGTAAAATGAAAGGGTCCCATCTAATATT